ATCGATTTTTTTACTGAAAAATGTGCTAGAAGTACGCCCAAAAAAGTTATGAATCTTTAAAAAAGAAAAAGACGTGTAGGTGGCGCCCCCTACGAGTAAGAGCAATAAGAACATCAGGTTCGAATTCGACACCTCAAAAACCTCCTATTACCAAGTTTCGTTTAATTAAGTTCAGTATTTCAAAAGTTATTTGAAAAAAACGAAAATAAAAATAAAACTTCAACATCCTGTGTCTTGGAAACGAATCGTTTCTGGACATGTATTTATTCGGACAATTCATATTAGAATATTGTGAGGAATCACCTCCTGAAGTTTGTCAAAGTACTTTTGAATCACCCTGTATATTTACGTAAATTACACTATATAGATGGTCAATAGGTAATGAAACCACAGTAGTGAATTGATGGTAATGAAACAGTAATTGAACTTTATATAAAAATGTGAGAAGGCTTAGAATATCCATTTATCAGAAACGAGAATTTGTGTCGAACAAAATTAATACACTGGAGCAAAACGAACAAAAACTGCTATTCATAGATTCCAAAGAAGACGATGTATTTTTATTCCAAGAGAAATTCAAACCTATTCCATTTCTTCAACAAAAGTTAACTGATAGATAAAATAAATTTTATTGGAAACAGTGAATTGAAATGTAGGCAATCACTGGAGAGAAATGAAGGTTTGTCATTCCTTTATCAAATGATAAAGTTTTTAAATTGAATGACGTCTTCACAAAAATGTATGTGTAGTGTATTGACTCTAACGACTCATACATACCTGTCGATAGATATATATTCTCAAGTCCCAGCCAAAACTCTCCTTTGAGGTTCCCAAATCCAAATTTATACTCTCGCCAGCCCAAAAAAAAGTCTTGAGAACCATCAAATCGCTTTTGTATATGCGTCCATCCACCACCCATCGTTTCCATGTCACATAAAACCATTATTGATGTTTTGGACATTTTTGGTTGAATTTCGTATATTCCAGAAACGTTGTTTCCTGAAAATAGTGAAAGTTTGCCAAAAACTCTTTCTCCACAAGTATTTGCTTCAGACGGTACAAAAACGTTATCTTCCCATGCAGTAAAAATAAAGAGTTGAATTCAAAAAGTCCCATTCAAAATATTTCGCCTCTCCTATATACTCATAAAATATCGAGTGGTCCAACGAAAAGTATGCACCTTGCTTTTCTCCTTTTTTTGTAACTCAACGCAAAAATGCTCGAACAGGTCAATTTTGCTTTTAAGGGGGACACATTTGAGATGTATTTTTCTACCTGTGCCTTCAACCCCCTAGCGAGGGTGAGTAACAACCCTAAAATTTTAAATGGAAAGTGGGGTCGAGTGATATATCATTTGNTTCTACTAAGTCAATTACACATTTCAAAGTACTGGATTCTAGTTGTTTTTCTTCATAATACCTACTTGTTTGAGTGAAATACAACAAATTAGGTATCATTGGAAAGAAAATTTTGTGCCTTTTCAAATGATTTATCACTTGACCCCTTTTCATTTAAAATTTTGGGGTTGTTACTCACCCTCGTTAGGGGGTTGAAGGCACAGGTAGAAAAATACATCTAAAATGTGTCCCCTTCAAAAGCAAAATTGACCTGTCTGAGCATTTCTGCGTTAAGTTACAAAAAAAGGAGAGAAGCAAGGTGCATACTTTTCGTTGGACCACTCTGTATATGTGTGGTGTTGATCAATTTTTCTACCAAGCAAGAGTATAAGGTAGATCTATGAAAATCACTTCTGTTGGTAATTCAAAACCATAATTTCTTCACTATGAGTTGAAAGCACAACCCTTAGGCGGATGTTACACGCTCACTTTGGCAACAGTTCAGTCTACGATCTTGACCACGAATGAACTGATGACAAACTGAGTGATCCAAGAGCGACCATGTGAAACGTTTTCTCATTTATTTCTTTTGAAGATTCCTCCATTTTTTTGTATAGAGATTGAGAAGTAGAAAGTCAAAACATTTCTTTTCCAGAAATTTGAATTATTCCATAATTCTATACAGTGTTTGTACTATACTATGTCTGATATCAGTCTTACCATTCATTTGTATCTCCCTACAACTTTTTGGAAGTGGTTTTTCCATGACATGTTGATAACAAAAAGGAGATTTATCAACTCCTACTAAAAATTTGCAATTCGGTGACCTAGAATGAACAATAATGTATTGAAGAAAAATAAATGAAAACTTGAGAGGTGTACATCCAAGCCTCATTTGAGGTTAGAAAATCGAATAAATGTGGTAAAGTTGAAAAAATGGAAATAAAAATACAAAAATTTATCCTCTTTTCCGCCTTTTGATTCTACCTCTGCCCAGTGATATATTAATTGAGATATTCAAGCCATCTTTGACATTTCTACAGCCCATGAGTTCAACATGAATCCTAATGAATCGGCAATTATGCTGTTTGGACTCAGGAGGAACAGAAAACTCACCTAATCCACTTTTCAAGTCCGCACTGAAAATTAAATACTTATCTTCGTGACCAAGATGAATTTCGATCTAGAACTTCGCTTCACTAAACATATCAGCTATCTAAAACAAACTTTTTATAACGTCCTCAGGCAGCTATACAGGGTGTCCCTGGACTTCCTCTTTTCCTCTCGGGAATGTATAGATGGGGTCAAAATATCACCAGTACTTCATATAACTTTTTTTCCTAAAAGTCTTCGTAACCAAGTTACGGGCCGACGAAGTTACAAAATGAAAAATGTTTTTCTTTGATAACTTTTCAAGTGAATATTCAAAATCATTCAAATTTTGGTAATTGACTAAACAAATGAATTACGTCGATGAGCTTTCATGCAGGAGTCAGTTGTTTTGCTACAAAGTCAGGAACGGACTACCCCCGATGGTCCACACCCCAAAACTTTGAAATGACAG